ACTTAACTGCTGTGCCACTGGGCCAGCCCCCCAAGTCGTCTTCTTGAGTGTCATGCTTCCAAAGCCAACAGCCTACTTGATGTCTCATTTAGATGTTGCACTGGCATTGCAACTTCAAAACTCCAACAGGGAAACTTATCTTTTTTCCTAAAATCTATTCCTCCCAATGCATTCAGTATCTTTTTTCTAATTTAATTTAATTTTAATTTTTATTTTTAATTGCAATAACATTGGATTATAACATTATATAGCTTTTGGATGTATATCATAATATATTCCAAACTCTGTGTAGATTACATCGCGTTCACCACCCAACCTTACTGGGTCTTTACTTTCAGAAAACTCACAGGTTTCTCATGTAACTTTGAACAGATTTCAAATCTAAGACAAAAGCAAAAAATATAAAAGTTACAGATGAACCCCATGAAAATGAAATGAGAAACACAGCCACTACAGCAAGCTCTTATAATGCACCAGATATTTTGCTAAGCACTTTACATTATTATCCCATTTAATCTTAACTACCCTCTGAAATAGGTATTATTATCTCCAATTTACACAGAAAGAAATGAGACTTAAGATAGTTAAGGTGATCTGGCTAAGACAACACAGCAAACAAGAGGTGGCAGCATCAAGATTCTAACCCTGGCCTGCCCTCAAAACCCTTAACCTCTGTTATTAACTTCTGTTTATCACAGAATACATGATGCACCATTATTGTATGTACCACTAAGAATAACAACCCAAACCCTGACAATTATAATTGTGCCACCCATGGAAATAAGACTGATCCAGATGTTAACCTGTGAAGAGGAAGGTGGGAGGTGGGGTGCTGTTTCTCAGAAGCAATGATATCATTCTATACTGCTTTCACCACAGTGCCTTTCTGAATGAAGAACCGAATACCACTTAGTTCTGGGGCACTCTAGAAAACAGCTCCCTTAGACTTTTCTAATGCTTAAGCATACTCAGAACATATTTCCAGATTAAATTACTTTATATCCTCCCAGTTGTTACCTCACTGGAATGCTGATAACTATGCATTGTTATTAACTTTAAATTAGAGCTATCAAGAGGCACAGACAGTGGGACAAACTCAACTTGTCTAGTCTGAGGACCCACAGGTGTGAATTAACACAGTAGCAGCTAAATCCTCCATCCACACCAGAAGTTCAACCTCAACGTGCCAAGAAATTCTTCCCTTTTGCCCTTTTTATTCCAAAGATTTGGCTTATTTTTACTACTGCCAAAGACTTATTCCACTGGCCTTCCCAGCCTCAGGCGAACAGTGAAACGCAGTTTTTCTAACTGCTTAGTGTTTTTCTAACAATCCTCCACACCTCCCTTTTCATTTTCAAGGATTGTATTGCTTTCATTTCTGAAGAGACAGGACTAAATCTCAGGGGAGTTAAAACAGTTCAACAGGGGCAACAGGGGTGAATTGCTCAGGACTCTCTATTTTCAGTCATTTTGTATTTGTGGGAGTGGGTGAGGTTCATCATCGCTCTATACAAACTACAGGTATCCTGATGACTCTGACAGCAAGGGACCAGCACAAATGAACTAGGGGGCCATTCAGAGGGATTTAAATGAACAAATACACGTGAGGCACAACAAAAAAACACATAAAAGAAAAATGGTCCCCGTATTCCGTTTGTCTACATTCTAACTGGCATGGGAGCAAGGGTAGTGGAGAGATACAAACACATACACAGAGCTATGGTGTGGTTAAGATCGTGGATCTGCGCAATACAGTAGAAAGTATGCTGATTATGCAAGGGAGAGAGTATATCTGACTTCGAAAATCTGGAAATGGGATGTAAGTTAAGCCTTGCATTTTATCTAAACACTTTACCTTAGGCCTGGTGAGGGAGAACAGGGTATGTGAGATATACTAAAACAAGCGACCCCAATTCTCCACCTCTACCTTTTTGCTCTCCCATGAGAGGTAAATGCTGGGAATTAAGCCTGGATAGACAAACCAACATCAGGTCAAAGAGGCCTTTTTAAGGAACATTAAGGAGTAAAGACTTCACCTTAAAACAGAGACATTCATTGAAGAGTTTTAATATGTCAGATTTAAGTTTTAGAAAGATGACTTTGGGTGCACTGCAGAGACTGGATTAGAAAGGGAGAAAACGAGACGGGGAGATGAGTTAAGAAAGCTGTTGTGGTAATCCCAGGCAAGCAAAGATGCTAGCCTGAATTTACTGTGGAGACAGAATTAAGTAGAGATTTTTAAGGGCTCATTGACTAATTAGATTCAGAATGAAAGGGAAAAGAAGAATTTAAAATGACTAATTTCTGGCTTGGGCAATTGCGAAGCTGGCAAAGTCAACCACTTAGATTCTAATCATTCAAAAGGTGAACCAGGAGGCTTATTTCTAAGGAGAGAGATGTCGTGGCCTGAATGAGGAATTAACAATACGTGGATGGACTGAGGGATATTTAGGAAGTAAAAGACTTGGTAATTGCCTAGATGAGGTACGTAAGGAAAGGAGTCAAAGAGGACATCCAAGTTTCTGACTTGAATTCTGTGGATGGTCATTATGGTAGATTGTCTAATGGTCATAAAGTCTTCCTCTCCTGGTATGTACACTTCTTTGCCATGTGATTGTGTCACTCCTCCCATGCAGAGATGGAGTCTATTTCTTTATCCCTGAAATCCAGACTGGTCTTGTGATTAACTTTGACAAATATTGGTGAGGTGGAAGTGAGGTATGTGATTTCCCAGGCTAGGCTTTAGGAGGCTTGCAGCTTTTGCTCTTTAGGGGTGCTGCCCTAAGACTGTCATGAAAAGAAGTTGGTCTGACCTATTGGAGGATGAGAGGTCACATAGAGGAGGACCATGTCATCCTAGTTGACAGCACTACCTAAGAATGAATCCACTTTGGACTTTTGGGTCCAGTTGACCTACTAGCTCAACACAGCTGCATAAATGAAGCCAGAGGAAATCAACATAGGAACTGCTCAGACCCACACAACTATGAGATATTGTTGTTATTTTAAGCCATTAAACTTTGGGGTGGTTACCCTCCATAAACAATGAAACAACAGTCAAAGAGATAGGGAAATAAGGACAAGGCAACTTGAAATGTTAGTCCTTTTTCTCTTTGCATGGTGGTGAACTCAAATTACCTAAGACTGGCAAAAAAAATCTTGAGTTTAGAGAGGGGTTTTCCAGTAATTTCTAAGGCATCAAATGCCTGGATAATAAAGTACCGTAGTGCTAACGAGAGGAATAAAGAATCCACCTTTAAGTATGGTTGCAAAGCATACAGGTAGGATCTTCAAACCCCTTGATGAAAGTAAAGCAGAGGTGTTTATAGAGGCCTTCAGTATAGGCCATAACTCCCCCACACCCTGAATAAATCAATTAAACCAGGTCTCCTAGGAGAAAACTTTCAGCAGGCTCAGAAAGGGAATACCTGAAGAATTAAGCTGATTAAAAAAAAAAAACTTATAAAAGGACAGTATCTATTAAAAAAAGTTTTATTATTCACACAGCAAAACATGGATTGCAAACTTCTTAGGAGGAATTAACCAAGATTAAGTCGTTCCTGAGTGAATAGGAAAATAAGTCAAAATTAGCCTCTCCCCCATTCAAAGATTAAGAACGCATTTTTTTCTCTTAATGGAGAAAAACGAAATAAAAAACTTAACACTACCCGATTTTAAACGAGATTTTAAACGAGGTGAAGGCTATCATTTTAGGAAACAATTTCAAAAATAAATCATGCTCTATTATACAGAGTAACTTCTTTAATGGCAACAACGTTGTTTAAAACAACAAATGGCACGGAAGTGCACCCAGCGGTACGTGAATACCAAAGAACGGAGGGAAAACGCTGTCTAACAGTGAATCAGAGAGACCACTAACAACTGAGAAAAGGAAGTAAACAGGCAGTGTGCCCTGGATCAAAGACTTGAGGGCTTTCCTCTAAGATCTGGGAGCCCTGTCATAAGGAACGGTAGTCCCTTGTGTTTCTGCCCGTTTGAAAACAATATTCATTCCTTTCCAGGATGTATTGCCTTTTCTTTTCACCGTGTGATTTACAGACTGTTTTCAGCTAGAGCTCTACAAGAGAAGTACTCGAGATAGTCTGAAGACAGGAGAAAGAACCCCTAGAAACCCGGGGCGGGGAAGGATACAAAAGAGGAATGAAGCCACGTCACTTTCCGGTCGCTAAAGACGCCCAGTCCTCCCGCCCTTTTCAAGCGTGGTTCCGTCTTCCTCGGCGCACTCCCTCCCACTCGCCCTGGGGCTGCAGCCGAGGGGATCTCCACTCACCGCTTGAAGTACAGTCGCCAACAACATCCGCAGCGCAAACGCCGGCCCAAGCCAGCCACCCGGCCGAGCCGCCATCGCTACCATCTTCCGTAGGTCTCTGGTTGCCCAGAGGACCCCTCAGCTAAGGGCGTCCACTCCAAAGCCTGATCCAAAACAGGCTGCTAAAGGCCGTTGCTATCAAGTCTCTTATTCTGCAGAGACAGGTATTACCCAACGGCATCTGGAAGCTTAAAGGTGATCAAATATCTTTACATTTGACATAAATGTAACGTCGCTAGATCCTTTCGATAACCCATATCAGGCAATTTCCTAAACTCCCCAAATCTGTGCTTCTTTGGGCTCCTTCCTTTCATTCGCGACATTTCATCAAGCCGCCAAGAAGCCCCGCCCTCGTCAGTTTCGGCCGGCCTCCTTCTCCAAGTTCACCCAATCGAATGCCGCCTTGGTTGACACCTAGGGCGCAGGAAACCAACCGTAACACTAACCGAGAGCGAAGCGCTTGGCTTCTCCGGTCCAATAAGCAGAACTGAACAGGAGCAGGGGGCGGAGCTTCTGGTTGCCGAGCAGCGTACGTAGATGCGTGCGCGTGGTGGCGGAGGGGGCTGGGCGGGGGCGGGGCTGAGGGCGGCGCAGCCGCAGCCGCAGCGCTGGCGGAGGAGCGCGCGGCCGCGAGCAAAGGAGGGAGGGAAGGAAGGAAGAGAGGGAGGCGGGCGGGCAGGCAGGCGCGGGGGTCGGGGACTGAGGCAGCAGAGGGAGGCGAGAGCCCGGCAGCCGCTTTTGCTGCGCGGGCTTTTGGAGAGGGCGGTCGTTGAGTCGGCCAAGGAGAAGCGGGCACCGGCGGCGTCGGTGTTGGCGCCTGGGGGCGGGGGACCGGGGAGGGGAGAAGGGGGGTCGCTGCGGTGGTTCTCTCGCTGTCGCGCTCCTCTTGCCTCTCTCCCGGCTCGGTGGGCTCCTCCCGGCGTCTCTCTCGCCTCCGGGGCCCCGCTCCCCGCCCCCCGCGGTATGTCTTGATCCCGAGCAGCGGGTTTCATGGGGCTCCTCAGGATTATGATGCCGCCTAAGTTGCAGCTGCTGGCGGTGGTGGCCTTCGCGGTGGCGATGCTCTTCTTGGAGAACCAAATCCAGAAGCTGGAGGAGTCCCGGTCGAAGCTAGGTGAGGAGAGGAGCTCCTGTGGGCTGAGTGGCGTGGAAGGGGGCCGGGCCAGTGGGTATTGCAACCGGAGCAAGGGGGCGTTCATCTAGCCTGGGGTCTGGCTTGAGGGCAGGAGCCAGAAAGAGGCTGCAAAGAGAGCTGGGACCGGGGGCATGGAGAGCACAAGCTCCGACAATGGTGTGAATTAAGCTTGAGTGGCGTGCTGGGCTCGTGAGGTCACGGGGCAGAGGTTGCAGGCTTGGGCTTCCCAGCGCCGAAGGGTTGCCCCGAAGTAGGCTTTCCACCGAGAGGGAGCGAGAGAAGACGGAACTCGGCTGGGAGTGCTGGGGGAGACACAAACGCTCAGCCTTTCGCGTTCTCTTAGAAGTCGCCCAGAAATCCCCGGCAATGTCAGGCGGGGGGTATTCTAATTTGAGATTTGGGCACCTGGATACAGAATCTTTTGGGGTTGGGGAGATTCACGAAGGGGTAGATGCGCCGAAATGGAGAGAGATACTGGGAATGATGGTGAGTAAAAAAAAAATACACTGTAGTGAGTTGCACGCTTGTCCTGGGGGCAGCAAGGGACCGCACAACGGACGGGAGCAATAGGCTGCCCAGGTAGGACAGGAAAGCAAATGAAAGGCTTCAACGAGGTACTGAAACGAGGCATCCAGGCGTTAAATTTTTTTTTCTGATGGCGCTAAACTGATTCATATTTTGGGCTTAAGAATACGGATGTATATGTATGTTGCTTCGCGGCAGTGTTGATGTAGTGAATCTAGAAGAGGAGGGAAGGCTGACTTGGAATTATAGTGAGATTTAAGTTTAAGAAAGGAAAAGTAAGATTATCAAATTTAGCCATGTGGTTAAGTACCTTAAGGAGTTAACAGTGCTTGCTTTAGTGGGAGAAGAGGTCTGAAGTACAAAAAGTTGAAGTGTGAAGTTGTGAAAGACCAGAAAAATGCTCAGGTAATAGGTACTTTCAGAATAGTAACGAGTTCTGGCGGTCGGGAAGGGTTTGGGATAGGGAAGGAGCGTTAAAAGAACGTCAGCAATACATTTTGGTTTTAAAATGCACATGGCACTTAAAAATCAGCTCAAGTGGCTATAGTTTGCATGTGGAAAAGTAATGTGAAGTGTTTTTATGCATACGCTTGCACCTCAGCATCATTGTCTTGAATCCTTTTTGAGAAGCAAGCAGTAAAATATCAGCTGTATAATTTAGACTGAGAAGTAACAGCTAGATGCTGCTGTGGGTGATGATTGATGTTTAGGAAAAATATATCAGAAAATAATTGTGATATTACAAACAGCTGGGTTTTATTAGTGTGTGTCTTGTATGGTGGAGAAGTATTCACTTTAAATATTGAAGCTTGGCTAATATGCTTTTTCTTTTGTTTGGATCCCTTTAGCAGCATTCAGGGTCATATTCTGGCCTCAATGCTCCAGCTTTACAGAAAAAAAATGATTTCTCTTAGAGAAATTTGAAAGTTATATTAAAATTAAAATTTGTACTTTGTTGTATTGCTATTTGGATTTCTTAGACACATTACAGTGGTTTAGGATAACTTAAGTTTTTTATTTTCTTTTGTTGCCTGACGTTTTTTTCATAATACTTGAAAGTGGTTTCTGTAGACACAACCTGAATGATTGGAAAAACAGAGTTATCTGAAGACGTAGAAAGCCACAGGTAGAAAATAACGTGTTTTTTTGTGTATGATTTTTTACAAGAAAGAAATCTTTGAATTCCATCAGAAAGAGTAAATTTGGATCAGACTAGTGTAAATAATTCTCAAAAATGAGCCAGGAAAAGGAGCCTCAAGTACAAAACACTTGAAGGAACTAATAATTCTCTAGAGATGCAAAAACGTGGCAAATAAAATGTTTAACTCTATCAGCCATCTCTTGACTTACAAAAAAAAAAAGTCATAAAAAGCATTACTAAAACAGGGGTTGCGAGTTAGTAATGTTCCTTAGGAAAGGAAGGCAGAGGAAGGCGTAGTTTGACAACCAGATGCTGTACTAGGCACTTTCATGTGTAATATTCTTATTTAATCTTCCAACAGCACACCACCATAGAAGGCCTTTGTGTGTGTGTGTGTGTGTGTGTAAGGAAGGTTGACCCTGAGCTAACATCTATGCCAATCTTTATTTTATATGGGATGCCGCCACGGTGTGGCTTGACATGTGGTGCTAGGTCGGACCGGGGTCTGAAATTGTGAATCCCGGGCTGCTGAACCAGAGCGTGCAGACTTAACCACTAAACCACCTGGCCAGCCCCAGAAAGCCATTTTTACAAATGTGGGAACAGGCTCAAAGGTTATATAACTTGACTACAAAGTAAGTGCAGAGCCAGGATTGGAACCCAGGTATGTCTGATTCCAAATCAAGTCTGCTTTAATTATACCAGGCTGCTTAGGACTTTATATTGACATTACTCTAAGATTTAGCAGTTTGAATAGAATTTTTAAACTGTAATACCAATGTTTAATTGCATTTATTGCTAAGAATGAATATCATTTTGAGAAAATCCAATTTCTGACACAAAGGAATTGGTTTAGTGTAATGTTTGCCCCTTGTTTATATCTGTATAATGAATATAATTACATTACCCAATGAAACGGATGAAATAGATAGCTTATTTCTGCTACAGGAAAAAAAAATCTGTGGTTGTTTTCTGTTAAGTATAAAGTTACAGCATTAAAAAGCATTTTTATTTTGGCATTAGAAAAACTGTTCAAGATTTCTCTTTTAAAAGTAGTTTTTATTGTTTATTTTTTCTATTGTAGAAGAGTCCAAAGGATTGTATTGTCTAATAATGCCTGTATGTACCTTGATTTGAGAGTATTTTGATGGTGAGATCTCTAATAGAGCTATATATGTATTAAAAACTTAGGTGTATTCATTGACCACTTGGGAAATTAAGTATATAAACAGAGGTTCCTAAAAAACCCAATATCACATAATACAGTTTTCTTTTTTTTAAACAAATATGGGATCATAGTATACATGTTACTCCTTATCTTGCTTTCTTTTCATTTAATACCATAGACATCTTTCCAGGTCAATACATATAAATTTGACTTCTAATAGCTGTATAATAGTCCATAGTATGCTTGTATCATAAATTATTAAGCCTTTATGCCAATAATGGATTCAGTTTGTCCCTCCCACCACTTTTTTTTGGCCATTTCTTTTCTTTCTTGGTATTATAAACAATGTTACAAGAAACATCTTTATATGTCCATTTAACTCCTATGTGTTGGTGTCATTTTTCACTAGGATAAATTCTCCTGTCTGTGGGATTGCTGGGACGAAAGATAAATGTATTTTATAATTTAACAGATTTTAAAATATCTTATTTTCCAAAGAATTTATTTTCTTAAAGTTTCCTGTAATCTACACTGCCAACACACACAGTCACGAACACTGAATGCTGTCTGTCAGCTTTTAATTTTTGCCAGTCTGAAACTGTGAAATGAAATGTTATCGCATTAATTTATATTTCCTCAACTTATAATTAGGTTGACATTGTGTACGTGTTCATTTTTATTTGTCTATTGGGTGGCTTATGTTACCAATTTTTAGTTCTTAAAAAAATCTTAGAAATGCTAATCCTTTATCTGTCATATGTCTTACATCTCTTTTTCTCCAAATATGTCATGACCCTTGACTTTATGGTGTATTTTTGCTTACATAGATGTTATAAAATTTAAACAGTCACATCTATCAATTTAGGTAAGTAGGTCTCTTATGTTGCTTAAGAAGACTTCCCCCAGCCAAGATTATGTACATTCTCTATATTTTGTTACAGTATTTTATAATTTTTATTTTTTTGCATTTAGCTCTTTAAAGCATTCATATAGTTATAAAGATTTATTGTAATTTCTCTCAGTGAATAGACACTTATGGCAAATATTATATTAATAAATAATCAGTTCTTCTCACTGTATGTTGCACTTCTTCTTTCGTTCTTATATTAGGTTTTCTTATGTTTTTGGATCAATTTTGGACTCCTTTCTTTTCCACTAAACAGAGATTCTTGAAACCTCAGGGACTCGTATATAGGCTTTGAAGCATCCGTAAATTCCCTGAAATTTTATGCATAGCTTTCATCAGATTTGCAGAGGATTATGTGATTCCTAATGGTAAGAATCACTGATTTTTAGTAGATGGTTTATATTTAATCGAGTCAGTGTGTTCTTTATTTTTATTATGAACATATTAGAACTTACGGTTTGTGAGTTACATTTAGGATATAGGCGCATTAATTATGAAAAATTTCTCTGGGGTGTTATGGTGAAAAAACTTCATTTTATTAAAATGTATACTTAATTTTTCTAATGGGATTTGGAAGATGACATGAAGTCAAAATGAAAACTGTTACTTAGCGTACTAGTTACTTAGCTCTTTACTTAGAACTGTGCATGTCAGAATTTGTTGCTTTTATAAAGTAGTTCTTTCTGATTCTCAAGAGCACACCTGTTACTATTGCTGACTGTTAGAACACTGCAATGAATCCTTTATTACATAAATGTTAGAATTATGTGCTTGATAATTTTATTGTTTATATGGGACCTAAGAATTTAAAATAATATTTGTTGTTGATCTGCTTATAACACCACTACATAAGTTTATGAATGCATTAGGACATAATCTTTTAAATGAGGACAGTAACTCAGAATGTATTATGTAGCCGTTACATTGGTGAAAATTATGTTACTATGTTCTTAAAATGCTCCTAAACTAGTAAACTAACTCCAGGGCCAAGGTTGAGACTGTGCTTTGGAATTTGGTACTTATTTCTAAGTGCTTAAAACCATAAAACAATACCTGTAAAATGTTCCCAAGAATGATAAATTTCTCTGCTTCTGAAGTTGTTTGGAAACCTCACAGTAGCTACTGTTTAGAGGACTTTGGATTAACTGGAATGCAGTCACTCTAGAATTGCTAGTTGGTGCCTCACTTGAGTCCTGGATAGGATGTCTAGTGTCATGGTGTAGTCACCTGAAACAGTT